CACTGCCCTCCCACCCGCCCCCGCTCATGCGGTGATCAAGCCTCCCGCGAGCGGGCCTTTACTTGCTGTGGAACAGAAGGGGCCATAGGTGTGTCCCCGACGGGAGGAAGCGAAAACCAAGAGAAAAAGCGAGGGGCAAAGATGGAAAGAAAGAGAAACATGGGAAATTAGACCCAGAGAGAAAAAATGCGGAGAGACAGACAGAGACAGAGAACACGATGGAGAGGCAGAGAGGGCAGGGCTGGGAGCAGCCCCCCCCGCCCAAACCAGGGTCCCCTCCCCGGGTCCCCAGCCCCCAGAACCTGCTCCGGCCCCTGGCGCACCTGCCGCTCATCTGGATCTCCTGTCCATTCTTCAGCCACTTGACCTCGGCGTCGGGGTCGGCCAGCTCCACGGTCAGCCGGATCTTGTGGCCCTTGTTCACCTGGTAGGCCGGCTGCAGCTTCTTCTGGAAGGCTGAGCACCACCCCTCAGCCCCCGCTCCCGGCCGCCCGCCCCCACCCCAGGCTGGCCCTGGCGGGAGGCTCTCGCCCACAGCCACTGGCAGAGGGCCCCGCCTCCGGCCGCCCCTTGTCGCTCTGGTCTCCACTGTGACTGTCTGTCTCTCTCTGTTCGCCTGTCTTCCTCGGGGTCCTCTGTACCTGCTCAGCTCAGGGACACGGTCGGGGGCCTCCAGACAGACAGAAGCTCGAGTGGGGGGGGGCGGGAAAGCAGGTGGCGGGAGGAAACCTCGGTGTTTGCGCTCCTGCCCAGAGGGCAGCTGAGGCCCCTGCCTTCCCAGTGCATCCTCAGGGCTGCCACCTGGCTGTCAGCCGTGCTGGGAAGGGCCGTGAGCCCTCGAGGGAGGGGTGACCTGCCTGGGGTGAGGGGCTGGCCCTGCCCCTTCTGTTTCTTTTGTTCTGTTTGCCTGAGAGGAGGAGTCACAGGCCGGTCTCTCCTCCCAGGCGGAGGTCTCTGGCCTAACCTGGTTTCTTCCCCTTTTCTTGGGCAGAGAGGGTGCAGCAGGCTTCTCTTCTTTTCTGGGGGTGGCGGGGGGTGTGGAGGGGGATCGCCTGGTTTTCATTTGGTGAGGAGGGCTCACCTGGGCCCTGACCCTTGGCATGGAGCGGAGGGATCGCCTGGGCCCTGTCCCTGGTTTGGAGCAGAGGGCTCACCTGGGCCCTGTCCCTTGGTTTGGAGCGGGAGGGCTCACCTGGGCCCTGACCCTTGGTTTGGAGCGGGAGGGCTCACCTGGGCCCTGTCCCTGGTTTGGAGCGGGAGGGCTCACCTGGGCCCTGTCCCTGGTTTGGAGCAGAGGGTCACCTGGGCCCTGTCCCTGGTTTGGGGCGGAGGGCTCGCCTGGGCCCTGTCCCTGGTTTGGGGCGGGAGGGCTCACCTGGGCCCTGTCCCTGGTTTGGGGCGGAGGGCTCACCTGGGCCCTGTCCCTGGTTTGGGGCGGAGGGCTCACCTGGGCCCTGTCCCTGGTTTGGGGCGGAGGGCTCACCTGGGCGCTGTCCCTGGTTTGGGGCGGAGGGCTCACCTGGGCCCTGTCCCTGGTTTGGGGCGGAGGGCTCACCTGGGCCCTGTCCCTGGTTTGGGGCGGAGGGCTCACCTGGGCCCTGTCCCTGGTTTGGGGCGGGAGGGCTCACCTGGGCCCTGTCCCTGGTTTGGGGCGGAGGGCTCACCTGGGCCCTGTCCCTGGTTTGGAGCGGAGGGCTCACCTGGGCCCTGTCCCTGGTTTGGGGCGGAGG